ACCTGATTTTCTTTAGGTTTTTGCCCATGATTTTATGTTTTGTTTTGTTTTTTTAGCAATTTGAGAATGTGTAAGGCAACTGTTTTAAAGTCTTTTTCTACTAATTTTAATGCTTATTCTTCTTAAGGAATGGTTTCTGGCAATTTATTTTATTCCTAATAATGGACCTCGACTTCCTGTTTCTCAGTATGCTGTTTGTGTGTGTGTGTATGTATGTGTGTGTGTGTTTAATTGGGCATTTGAAAAAACAGTGACCTCTTTACTCTATGCAAAATTGTTCTGTGTCATAAAAATTCTTAACTAAAATGCTCAAATAAGTCTTGGGATTAGTTCAACACTATAGCTTAAGGTCTACACAGTTCTTACTGGGTGTACATCTTGCCTGGTCTGTGCAGGGCTTATTTAATTCCCCTGCATACTCTGCTGTTTTTGAATTACTTAGTATTCAAAACAACGTCTCTTCCAGGTCTTTTATGGTCCATTGTATGTCTCCACCACTAACCTTTTCTTCAAGGCATCTGTGGGTTTATAGTCCCCTTTATTTTTAAAGAAACATTCCAGCTGCTTTTTAACTTTTGGTCCAAATTAGGCAAGATTCCAATCCTTCAAGAGTATTAGGAAGGTTGGGATTCTTCAAGTGTGGTCTTCTCTGATTGCTCTCATTTGAGGGAAGAAATTGGTGACTGGGCTGATGCTATCTCCACACCAAGATCACCTGTGCTAGACAGGCATTGGCAAGGGTTAAGAAAACGTGGTATAATTCCAACCATTCTGAATCTGGTTTGTGTGTGTGTGTGCATGTGTCTGTGTGTGGTTGGGTGTTCATGCTGTTGCTGTAGACATTGGACTATTTACTGGAGCTCCTCTAACGTTACTTGACAAGTGTCAGGTTGGATTTTGATGTTTCTATGGAGAACTTGGAGCATCCTGTTCAGACATTTTGCTGACATCACTCCTTATGCTAAATTTTCAATCAATTCATAACATTCCATTGTGCTAATGCATAATATTTACCTAACTATAGCCAAACTTACTGTAATTAAAGCTGTTTCCTTTTTTCATGAATAATGTTGGGGAAAAACATGAATTATATAAAATATTTATCCATTTTCAGGGCATTTCAGGCCATTGCTCAAGCTTGGACAGGTAGCTGTCGTGTTGCCTATCACTTGTTCTTAAAACCCGTGAAGTTAGAGGAAAAAAACAAGGTCTGCTTAGCCACAGCAGTGACAGTGATGGATTCCAAATGTCAGTGTATGAAACTGATGAGGGTCACTTCATTCCTGTACTGGGATTCAGCATGTATGCAACTCCAGAGGTAACAACAGTGTCTTGGGTTTGAGGGTTCATAAGAAATAGACCCAGGATAAGGGGAAGTTGAATGGGATTGTCAGGTTCTTGTTCTTCTGTGAGTTTGAGGGTATGGCTTGTCTAATAAATTTGGATAAAGTTTTGCCAAGCTAGAGCTATTCCATATAAAAAGAGGAAAGGCAGTCAGACTTTGCTCTGTATCAGGGTCTAATCACATAAACACCTACCAGTTATTCTGGGCTCTGGTTCTTCCTCCTATTTCAGTCTCTTTCCCAGCTTGGCAGAAGAATTCAAACTCATCAGTCAGTAACACTGCTTGTCAGGTTCCTTGCTTGAGAGTGAGTTGTGCTGGGAATGGTTTCTCTGTTTATTTCTACAACCCAAGAAATCTTTCCTCCTTCCAAGTGCCCATGATCCAGAGAAATCTTTGTGATAGAAGTTCCTGGATTTGGGGTGCATGAAAAATAATGGGAGAACATGGCATCCCTGCTGTGGGGCATCCTGTGAGCACCACACAGCAAATACCGGACCTGGACTCAATAGAATTTCCCAGGACTACTCTCCCCTCTGGAAATTTACCTGAAAGGAAACTATAACATCATTTTAGAGCAAACTACAACCTGACAAGGGCAAGTAAGTCTTGGTCCATGTTAATAAACATTGAATATGAATCAGAATGGAAGAGGTGGTCCTTTAATATGAAGGAGCCAAATGGATAGTTCACTAAATGGAATAAAGTTTTACATTCTAGTGTTGTCCTCAACTACTTTTGCGTAACAACATACTAGGTACTTAAACATCGATTCTTGCTTTTCTCATTTATAAAACATAGGAAATATCTAGTGAGAAATTTTAAACTAGTTGATAGGTGTCTTTACTTAGCAGTGCAAAGTGGCATGAAATGGAGGGAAGGAAGGACTGAGGACACCACTGAAGCTTCATCCTTGGTAAATCCTACAAGTGTTCCTACACCTAAGTGGACACCAGGGCCAGGATCAGGAGAGAGCACTGAGGACCCAGTATCTACCTCTTTGTGATTTCATCAAAAAAGAAAGAAAGAAAGAAAGAAAGGAAGGAACGAAGGAAGGAAGGAAGGAAGGAACGAAGGAAGGAAGGAAGGAAGGAACGAAGGAAGGAAGGAAGGAAGGAACGAAGGAAGGAAGGAAGGAAGGAACGAAGGAAGGAAGGAAGGAAGGAACGAAGGAAGGAAGGAAGGAAGGAACGAAGGAAGGAAGGAAGGAAGGAACGAAGGAAGGAAGGAAGGAAGGAACGAAGGAAGGAAGGAAGGAAGGAACGAAGGAAGGAAGGAAGGAAGGAACGAAGGAAGGAAGGAAGGAAGGAACGAAGGAAGGAAGGAAGGAAGGAACGAAGGAAGGAAGGAAGGAAGGAACGAAGGAAGGAAGGAAGGAAGGAACGAAGGAAGGAAGGAAGGAAGGAACGAAGGAAGGAAGGAAGGAAGGATGGAAGTAAGGAAGAAAGGAAGGAAGGAAGGAAAAGAAAACCTCTAAAATTCTTGAAAATAAATAGAAATGGTGGTTTCATCTACCTTTTTGTCCTCTAACAAACGCACTTTCAAATCTTTATCCAAATTTGGTAGACAAACCCTAACTGTAAATTTTACTCTAATTACACTTTCCCTAAAAGAGAAGGACTTGATTTTAAGGGCTGATGCCTACTTTGCCAACCCCTTACAAACTTTGGTTAATTTCTTATAATAAATATACATCCTTAGAATATATATCTCCAGTCCTAGTATCTAGTTGTGTCATATAGAAAGAACGGCTGTTTAGAAAAGACGTAACTTAATACACTACTCTGGATAGAAGTGCTTATTTCTAAACTGAACCTGGATGAGATATTGGAATATCAATTTCTCAACATTTCAAACTGACAATGATGATGACTGTACCTTAACTACGAGTACAAATATTAGGCTTCTGTATACCTGCTTTCCTTTGGGAGACTTGAATTTTGGTGTTTACCAGGTAGAGTGTGTCTGTGCAACCAGCCTGTGGTGAAAGGCTTAGGAACTGAGTTTCTAAAGAGTTCCTCTTTTAGACATTTTCCATATATTCTCAAATTTCAATGCTAGGGAATTTAGTGTGTTCTGTGTGAATTCACTGGGAGAGGACTCATTGAATTTTGCTCCAGATTTCTTCCATATATCGTCCCATACCCCTTTTCCCTGTATTACCCTTTACTTTTTAACTTCACTGATGAGTAACAGGCATGACCATAATATTATGCTGGGTTCTCTGAGTTCTTCCAGCAAATCACTCAACCTGGAAATGTTCATGTCCAGATTTCTTCCATATATCGTCCCATACCCCTTTTCCCTGTATTACCCTTTACTTTTTAACTTCACTGATGAGTAACAGGCATGACTATAATATTATGCTGGGTTCTCTGAGTTCTTCCAGCAAATCACTCAACCTGGAAATGTTCATGGGAGCCTCCAATGCCAGGGCTCAACCAGAGATTGTTCATGAGTGAACAGATCCCTGGGATGCCCAACTTTTATTACTAACTGGGAACGACCAGGCAAACTGGGATGGGTTCGTCACCTCACACACAGAACTAACCCAAGAGATGAGGAAAACTTGGTTCTTGTGAAGGTCACTGCTTGTGCCTGCACTACCTCTCAATCGTGTGGATCTCCAAATACCTTTGCTTGCTCCCCTGGGTTCCTAAGAGTGAAACTGTGGAGGGCACCAAATTAGCAACAGACATCGGATTTTACCATATGGATTCTGCCTATGTGTACAATAACGAAGAGTAGGTTGGACTGGCCGTCCAAAGCAAGACTACGGAGAGTATTGTGGAGATGACATATTCCTCACTTTGAATGTATTGTGTATGTGGTGTGCTTGTGTGCATATTTATTTCATATGATTTTGCAGAAATAACAATTATAGGATTCGGTCAGTGGCTGTTTGGTGAATTATTGCATAGTGGTACAACTTTTATTTATACACACTCATGTATTAAAACTATAATCAAAAGCAGAGAATGATGATGGATTTCTCATCATTGGGATGCCTAAATTTATGACTTTAACATAAAGTCACTTCACTTTTCGGAGATGCAGCTCAAGGCAGTATAATTCATTATTGACTATAGAATCAGACACAAGTGTGATCACATCATGGCTTATCTCCTGAGTGACTTTCAGAAATTGCTTTCGTTATGAATTTTAATTTTCACCTAGTTAATAAGAGAGAACAATATAAGACAGCTCAAGTTATTAAACAGGATGGAGCTGAAGTGCCTCAGATTGTGGCCTCACACAAATTTTCTTTAGTCATCTGAATGAAAGAATACTAATTCTTTTCCAATTAGGTGAATGGAAGAGAGAATGAGACTAAGTTTGTTAACTGCTTTGTAAAGTCAAATATAATTCAGATTAGGAGCATTAATATTTGATAAATGTTTTTTGTCTTGAGTAACTTCCTTTCATGTTCAGTAGACATACAACAATATAACCAAATGTGTAATAGAGTTTTGATGGGGAGGTCAGATCATAGGGGGAAAAAAGAAGGAAGGGAGTATGACAAGCCTGTGATCATTGGTTTCCAAATAGTAGAAAAAAGCTTCAATATAGTGTGTCACAAACCAACAAAATTGGCTAAGTATTAGTTCCAAATTTCATTCTTTAACCGTCCACTTTTGGGGAATTTTCTATTGAGCAGTTAGTCCAACCAGCCTTGGAAAGGTCACTGAAGAAACATCAGTTGGACTGCGTTGGCCTGTACATCATGCACTACCCCTTGGCTCTGAAGGTAGGCAGTTGTGTGATCAAACCTATTTCACATCTGATGCCAATATGAACATTACTATATTACGTTATTGTTTTTATGGCTGAATTAAGATTTTCCTTAGGAGGATGTAGGGATTATTACACTGATGAAGAATCCTAAATGATAATTCCTAATACTCTTTTTATTGAATAATTTTTGTATTTTTAATTACTTACTTCCTACTTCTAGGAGGAGAAAGTTCAACATCAAAGTCTCAGAACAAATAACAATAGCCATGTCCTAGTCACAGTCCTGATTACAGCCCCTGAAGTTCTTGGGGACGTTCACAGATGCTGAGTTTCCTGTGGCTGTGTTGAGCAATGAAACTGCTTCTCACAAGGCACACAGAGGATGTCCATCATCATCTCACATTTCATGCTGGAAGCAGATTTGGTGGTGCTCACTCTGGGCAGGTCAAACCTAGCAGCCTTCTTAGGGACTTGGGGGATACTGCTTCTCCTGTTGATTATCTTCATGATGGAGGTTTGTACATGACATTTTTTCATTAATAACTGTGTTATATACACTGAAACTAGTTTATGCAAAAGGGCTTATTGAATTATATAGGAGGGAAGACCAAGCCATGGCTGCATTTAAAGATTTAAAGTCATCTTCAGAAATGTTTCTTTTCTCCATCCCTCATCTCTGCATTTCACCAGGTTTGCTTGATTTTTGTTCTAGCCCTTTCCATTGGTGGAAAATATGACCTCAGAGAAATTGAAGGCTCCTGGTCATTAGCACCTGAGAGCTTCTCTGGGTCTCCCATCTTCCAGATTAATTTTGAAATTAACCTCAATTGACCACGTTTGGCTCATGTCGTTGCCCTTGGACTATTATGAGTTTAAGAGGAAAAAGTGCTCTGATTACCTGACTTGGGTCAAGACTGCAAATGTTGTTCTGAAAATAAAGCCATGAAACCTGCTGTCTTCCCTAGAAGAAAACAGGTGTTTCCAAAGAGGACAGTAAAGAGTGTAGGCAAGTATAAACTGAGTCACAATAAGTCCCCATTAGGACCTGAGAAAATGATATTTATGAAAACATATCAAAAAATGTGAAAGATTAGAGGAAGCATTTCTCTAAAGATATTCCTCACAATTTCATATCCAACCTGTCTTCAAATATTGATAACTGGAACATCCCATCACCTACCTCATGGAGGTTAATGCCCCATCCCTAGACATACCTAGGGACACAGCAGAGGGTGGAGATATTTACTGTGGCATCTCTGAAATAACTGCTTCTATTCCAGCCAAGAGGGGAGTTGTATCCAAGAGATGAACATGGGAAGTTAATATTTGATACAGTGGATCTCTGTGCCACGTGGAAGGTGAGTGCTTGGAGGAAATAGCACAGAGGTGGAAGCCAAGAGAGTGGGGATCTGGTTCCCACCTGACACTCGGGAGATTGGGATAAGCACCTTGGATCTAGAAATTTGTGACCTTTACAAAGGCAGTTTGGCTGGAGTGGTGGGGAAAATCTCATTGCTAGAATGTAATGAAAGAAATGCAAGAGAAGAATTGGGGAAAAGGACGCCAGGCAGCTCTTTAACACAATGTGCAATAAACTATGTGGTTTTCTCAGGAGATCAGAGAAATTCTTCTTTTTGCTGTCAGTATCTCCTTTCTTTATTCTTTTTCTTAGTTTCTCTTTTCTTGACAATCAGTGCCAGAAAACTTCATTGCTAATTTCTTTTGAGTTCTAATTTTTAACAATTCTATCTTCAATTTATCTCGATCTGCAGACAAGTGCACAAATAATTCCCCACCAACCCCTTCCTCCCCAGGCCATGGAGAAGTGTAAGGACGCAGGATTGGCCAAGTCCATCGGGGTGTCCAACTTTAACCGCAGGCAGCTAGAGATGATCCTCAACAAACCAGGGCTCAGGCACAAGCCCATCTGCAACCAGGTGAGCACCTGAGCCTCCTCCCATTCCTGTTCTTCATGCCTTCCTTCCTGTACTGCTGCCAGGTGTCCACTTGTCATTCCCTCCTGTTCCTCTTACCTTTGTGCAGCAGGAGATTCTACAGAGCAGAGCTTCTGTCTAGAAGGGTAGGGAGGATCCTTTATTGTACCCCTGCTTGGTAAATTCTTTGTGAAAACATGCGGAGACCCTAGTGCTGAATCTTGTATTAGAATTTGGGGAGGTAGAAGAGACCAGGGAAGGCTGGAATCATTAATCAGATCTCAGGGGAAGGTGGAAATTCCCTTAGCTGTGAAGGATGACCAAGGACTGGATGGGTGGAAGTGACTTGGAGGGAATTGTGCATAGAAAGGATGACCATGAAAACATTGAATGGGTAGTAGGTAAGGAATGAAGGAAAATAAAAAAGATACATAGTAAAGGTTTTTATGGGGTTTGAATGCCTGTGTCCCTCATCTCGGTATCTCTGCTCACAGAGTTCTTCCATAGAAACACAAACAGAGGAAAACAGTAACTGGAGTCTATGAAAATCACTCAGGTTATAGGGGTGAAGTTACCTGTTTATGATGATGCCTATTTATGGTGAATAAAATCAGCACTGTGGAACTTTCAGAAGAACATAGAGCTGACTTTGTGACTGATCATCTTTCAGTCTGCTTGTCCTCTGTGCTTTCAAGCCATCAAATCTACTTTATAAACACGTCCGTTCATTCTATGACAAATTATGTGATCTTAGTTACTTTTTACCAGTTTAGAGTGAAGGAGTAAGGGCCCTCAGTTAGAAAATATAGATTATAAAATTTATTAATGTATTAATTTATTAATAATATAGCAGCATGGTTCTCATATATAAATGTTAAGAAAGGAATGTGCTTTTAATATATTTTACCTCAATTTTTTATTATGGTAATTTTTAAACCATCAGAATATTTGAAAGAATGATACAAAACACCCATATTTTCTCATTTATATGCAAAGTTGTTGACATTTTGCCTCATAGTCAAATACAGGTAAATACACTAGTATATGGGTACATCTGGGTACATGTGTGTAAATTTGGCTGAATTTTTACATAGTAAATTGTAGGCATGAATATTAATCCCTGCAGAAATCAGAAAGCCGTCATAGGAATGATGTTCTCCTACACAGTTAGTTACATTATTAGATTTAAAGAGATTAACAATAATTCCCTCATATCATCTAATCCAGTTTCAAGTTTCCCATTGTTTCCCCAAGTGTCTTCTGTAGCTCTTCTTTTTTAACCAGGTTATAATTGGGGTTCATATATTATTTTTATCATGTTTCTCAGCCCCTTTTAATCTAGGGTGGTCACCAATCCTTTTTCCCTATGATATTCCAACAATTTATGTCAAAAATTCTGGATTTCTCAGACTGTTTGTTGTCTTGTAATGTTAGATAACTTGTTTCTGTATTCTAAATTCGACAAGTTAAAAACAAGACACAAATGGAATATTACATTAAAATTAAACATTGTTAGCAATTAACTGTCCTTGGCATACTGTGTCACTGAAATTGCACCCCAGTAAGAAGCACTTAAACAGGTTGTCCCACTATTAGTGATGGTAGTTTTTTTATTATTTATTATTATTTTATTGAAATGTAATTTATTATGTATTTATGGGGTACAGAGTTGAATATCAATACCTGTATACGATGTGTACTGATCAAGTCAGGATAATTAGCATATTCATCATTACAAATCTTAATCATTTCTTTGTTTTATTGACATTTGGTCTCCTCTCTTCTAGTCATTTGATAACATACATGCATCAGTACAACTCACTTTTCCTAACTAGCTGTTTTGTGTATCTCCCTCCCTCTCCCCCATTCCTGCCTCTAGTAACCACAGTTATGTTCTTCCCTTCTGAAAGTACAAAATATTGTTCTTTTCTCTCTTTTTTTTCTTTCTTTCCTTCCATCATTCCTTCCTTCATTCCTTTCTTTCTAGCTTCCACGTATGAGAAGAAACATGAGGTATTTCACTTTCCATGACTGACTTATCTCACTTAGCATAATTTTCTTCAAGCTCATCCATGTTGCTGCAAATGGCAGAATTTCATTCTTTTTTATGGCAGAGTAGTATTCTATTGTGTATGTATACCACATTTTCCTTATCCAGTTGTCCGTCGATGGACATTTAGGTTAGTTCCTGCTCTTAGCTATTATAAATAGAGCTGTGATGAACATGGGAGTGCAGGTATCCCTTTGACATGATGATTTCCATTCTTTGCGGTATATACCCAGCAATGAGATTGCTGATCATATGACAGTTCTATCCGTAGTTGCTTGAGGAACCTCCATACTGTTTTCCATAATAGTTGCACTAATTTACAGTCCCAACAACATTGTAGGAGGGTTCCCCTTTCTCTGCATCCTCTCCAGCATTTCTTATCCTCTGACTTTTTGGTAATGGCCAGTCTAACTGGGGAGAGATGATATCTCAGTGTGGCTTTGATTTGCATTTCTCTGATGCTTACTGAAGAGTATTTTTTATATGTCTGCTGGCTATTTGTATCTTCCTTTGAGAAATGCCTATTCAGCTTCTTTGCCCAATTTTTAATCGACTTACCTGTTCTTTTACTGTTAACTTGAGTCCCTTGTATATTCTGAATATTAATCCCTTGTTGGATGCATAGTTTGCAAATATTTTCTCCCATTCCGTAGGTCATCTTTTCTTTGTTGTTTCTTTTGCTGGGCAGAAGCTATATAGTTTGATATAATCCCATTTGTTTGTTTTGTTGTTGTTGTTGTTGTTGCCTGTGCTTTTGAGGTCTTATTCATAAAGTCTTTGCCCAGTCCTACTTCCTGAAGTGTTTCTCTCTTTTATGAGTTTTATAGTTTCAGGTCTCTTATATAAGTCTTTAATCCATTTTGAGTTGATTTTGGTATATGATGAGAGGTACAGGTC